TCATCTATTTGTCTCTCTTATTTTGTGGAGAAGAAGGACTGGGGGAAATGAAGGGAAAGTGAGAGGAGATTGAGTTAAGCTAGGTCTCCAAATAATACTGTGTTGTCTTAACGTTTTCAGTAGAAAGAAAAATACACTAAAAGTCAGTAGCTGTAGGTCCTAGTCTTGACTGCTATGGGCCTGTGAAGCTGTGGCCAAGTTATTTAACATCTGCGGGTCACAGTTTGCTCACTCATAAATGTGGAAGTTGTCTTTGATTGATTACTTTCAATTGTGGAGGTAACCTTGGGTGAAGTCATGGGGTCAAGCAGCATTTTTGGTAGATTATATTAATAATTCTGGGTTTTCTACCTCTGCTTTAGCAAGAGCAGCTCCATGTTTTTATCTGTCTTATATATTGGGGTCCTTAATGTAAGATTTCATATGGGGGAAGTAAACATGACCATTTCTAATTTTCTAACATGCATTTTGTGATTAATTGACTGATTGATTGATTTATAATATATAATGAGGACTATTCTGAAGAAGCATGCTAGTAATTGGAATAAAAAGGATATGGTAAATGTCAAAGGTTTATTTTATGTACTAACACTTTTTAGACTTGAAATGTTTGCTCTGTTTTTATAAACTGTATAGATCAGGGTTTCTCAGGCTTGGTGTTAATGACATTTTGGGCCAGATAGTTCTTTGTTCTCAAGGGCTATCCTATGCATAGTTACAATTACTGTTATGCTTATTTAGGATGTTTGGCAGCATTCCTGGCCTCTACCAAGGAGATGCCATTAGCAACTTTCCCTACCGCACCACAGACCAGTTCTAACAACCGAGTGTGTTCAGACATTATTCAGTGTCCTTTGGGTAGGGGTAGCAGTCTGGGAACAGTATCACTTCTGTTTAACAACCACTGATAATATGAATGTGCAGTGTTAAATAGTTGAAAGATGTATGACATAATTGTTACTTTCAGAGCTAAATTTACAATTTAGGTACTCAAAGCTTTGTTTCTCTGGATACATTGTCTATCCATAGGGTAAACTGCCACCAAATTAATGACATTTCTTTAATTATGGAACCCAAATGACAAATTGTACACTTTAATCTGGGATAGTTGTGAAATGCTGCTTATTTTCTTATCCTTCCCCCTTACCTCAAAATATATTTTTTAAATTAAAATAGCTAAGTCTGTAACTGAAATTATTAAACACTGTTGAAAAAATGGAACATGAAGATTTTAAGACAAGCAATAGATTCATTTTCTCTAGGGCTTAGTTTAGTTTAATTCTAAACATCTTGTATTTACTTAAAATGTTCTTTTGTAAATTTTCCCTTGTTTTTACTGCAGTCTTGGTCACATAATGTATTCATGCCTGATATTCTTGCCAATTTCATGTTAGTGGATTTTACTCTGCCTACTTTGATTCTAGCCACTGCCCTTTTCCTACTTCCTTGTTAGCTGTTACTGCTCCTCATCCCAGCTGCTGTCATTTATTGAGCATCTATTGCTTTAAGTGCTTTCTGTATTCAAGAATCTTTAACAACCCTGAAAGATAGTTAATTCCTATTAGATACACCCCCACGTTGTAGATTAATTCATGATTCCATTCTTTAAACATTTATTAAGCACTTGCTAACTGCCAGGCATCTGTATGCTTGACTGATTAGCAGGTATAAAAGTTAAACAAGGTATAGTCCCTTAACACTCTTCTAGAAGGGATTATAGTCACAGGGACATTGGGGAGGTTAAGCAGATTGCCAGAGTCACACAGCTAATAAGGAACAACTGAAAATTTATCATAGACTGCTTGAGAATTGTGGTGTTGATGTAAATTTAAGAATAGATCCCACTAATGCAGAAGTTAAATTAGAAGTACAATATTTTGGCTGAGTGCAGTGGCTCACACCTGTAATCCTAGGACTTTGGGAGGCCAAGTTAGGAGGATTGCTAAAGGTCAAGAGTTCAAGACCAGCCTGAGCAAGAGCCAGACCCTGTCTCTACAAAAAATAGAAAAATTAGCCAGATGTGGTGGCATGCACCTGTAGTCCCAGCTACTCAGGAGGGTGAGGCAGGAGTATCACTTGAGCCCAGGAGTTTCAGGTTGCAGTGTGGTATGATGATGCCACTGCACTCTAGCCTGGGTGACAGAGTGAGACCCTGTCTCAATAAAACAAAAACAAACAATATTTCTATGCTTAAGAGATTTGTATGTTCTTTATTGTGAATGTTACAATTTTTAAAAATAATTCTCGTTATAATAAATGCTATAGAAAGTTATGAAGAGAAACATGTCTTCATCTAACTCTTCAGAATAACCAGGTTAAGGTTCTTTTGCATGTATAAGTGTCTCCATGGCATTCGTGTTTGCCTTTTTTTAAAAAAATGTACTTATAACTACTGTTCTGCAAATTGATTATTTTACTTAAATCTTATATTAGTATTTTTGCCACTTTTTAAATGAAAGTTTTGTTTAATCTTAATGAATTTGTTTGTTTTTTGTATTTGTATAGCTTTTCTATGCATTCCAAGATGATCGTTATCTCTATATGGTGATGGAATACATGCCTGGTGGAGATCTTGTAAACTTAATGAGCAACTATGATGTACCTGAAAAATGGGCACGATTCTATACTGCAGAAGTAGTTCTTGCATTGGATGCAATTCATTCCATGGGTTTTATTCATAGGTAAAGATAAAAATGCTTTAAATTGTCTCATTTGTTGAAGGGAGTAGCTGAAAATAACTTTATTTGATTAACATTTCCCACTCTAAATCTACCCATTTTCCTCCCATATGGCGTGGTAGCATTCCAGAATTTAAAACTTTGAAGTCCATAGTTTTAGCATTTCAGTTTAATGTTGATATAAATGTATTCTTTAATATCCCTTATCAGATTATATATATTTTATATGGTATTCCAAAAAGTAAAGGTTGTAAGATAGTTTTCTAAGGTTTGTGCCAGAGTGTTAAAACTTTGATTCTGATTTTCTGTATACAGATTACTTTGCTTTTAATTAGTGAGTAAGTCATATTTATTCATTAGAGTAGTTTCATTTGTTCTGCACATACTGCTTAAATCCTATGTGCAATTGCTGTGCCTATGTGTCAGGGATCAAACTGAAAGTGACTTAGACCATGTCCTCTGGTTATTTATATACTTATCTATCTTATATGTTTCAATTACCTTTTATATTTGAGGGTTATGTATTTGATGATTAATCTCTCTCAAATGATTTAATCTTCCCTCTGGAAGAATCAAACTCTACTTAAAAGAAAAGGAAATATATATGTCTTCTTCTGAGGCATTAACATACAAAGGAGTTTCCTTGATGAAATTCAGTTTATAGATACAGATAGAGAGCATGTATAGATGAAGGGTGGCCATATCTAGATGGGGTGAGAATGCCTAAAATAACTGATTGATAATCTTTATAGTATCTGATCTGTTTCAGAAATACTCTACTGTTTTTTTCTCCCCTTAGAGATGTGAAGCCTGATAACATGCTGCTGGATAAATCTGGACATTTGAAGTTAGCAGATTTTGGTACTTGTATGAAGATGAATAAGGTTAATTAATTAGATTTGAATTTAGTTTTTGCTAATTCGAGACAAATGCTTCTCTAGAAATGCTGTAAGAATTTACTAACCATATCTGGACTTGTCCAGAATTGATGTGACCTTATTTGTTGAACTAGATACCATGGTTTCAATGTTGTATTAGTAACTTGTTAGTGATTTATTTTTTCCTCTCTATTTAGGGTAAATGTGGATTGCCAGATTTACTAAATCCTTCATAACAACTCTGTAATATATACTACTGGTAACTAGGAATGTAGCTTAAATGTCACTAAATACTTATGCCACTGTTAAAATTAGACTTTCATAAAAATTGGATTTCAGTAATGTTCGTGTTTTTTAGTGTTTTACTTACCTTCTGTTAGCATGTAAATGATTTTACTGCTTGTTTTAGGATTCAGTCTTAAAAGATAGCCATCCTTACTATTTATGCAATAACTTATATACACAGCTGAAGGAGCAAGTATGCTGCTTTATCTTCAGTTGAAACAGTTTATATTCTTTGAAACTTATCACAGAGCAATAGTGAGGAAGCTGTATTTATTATTTTAAAAGGAAATTTGTTGGTTAGAAGGAAGTACTACATGAGAACTTTTGTGTGAATATTTAATTATAATTCTGTTACATTAATACCAACTAAAATAGGTAACAAGTAAATATTTTGGGGGAGAGGAGGTGGTTTAAAATGCATTATCAGACCGGCACAGTGGTTGTCATCCCAGTACTTTGGGAGGCCAAGATGGGAGGACTGCTTGAGGCCAGGAGTTTGAGACCAGCCTGGGCAACATAGTAAGACACTGTCTCTATAAAAAAAAGTTAGCCAGGCATGGTGGTGCATGCCTGTAATCCCAGCTACTCGGGAGGCTGAGGTGGGAAGATCACTTGAGCCCAGGAGTTTGAGGCTGTGGTGAGCCATTATCACGCTACTGCACTCCAACCTGGGCAACAGAGCAAGACCCTGTCTCTAAATTTAAAAAATGAAATACTTATCAGACAGATAGTCAGTGTGCTTAACACTATTATGCTCTTTCTCCATACACATTTCCCCATTTTATGTTTGTACAGTTAACTTTTGTATGTTTTCTTCACGAATAGCTATTTTAGTAAAAAATGATGAAGTCAGCATTTATATTAATAAGTTATAAAATGCCCATCCTATCAGCCCCTCAATCTCTTTGCCTTGGCTTATGTACTTGTTTTCTGCAGTTAAAATGAGATCATAATAGTGACACAACTGGGGGAATAATAAATGGTGGCAATATGTCTTTCTAGTGACTATTATTACAAAATAAAAATCACTGATCCTCTTATATAGTATATATTATGAATATATTGTGTAATAGTATGTATATATGATTAAGCCGTGTTAGCTTTTGTCAGGTTTGCATTAAGGTTTGATAAGATGTGATATTTATAGCCCAAAGATTTGGAGTTCTACAGATTATATTAAGAAGAAAGAAATTTTAAATAATTAGACTTTATATCCTAATTCAGAACTTCACCTGCCACTCTTTTCAGGAAGGTATGGTACGATGTGATACAGCAGTTGGAACACCTGATTATATTTCCCCAGAAGTATTAAAATCCCAAGGTGGTGATGGTTATTATGGAAGAGAATGTGACTGGTGGTCAGTTGGAGTATTTTTATATGAAATGCTTGTAGGTGAGTAAAGGAGGATTTTATTTCTCTAATACAGTTGTTCTCAAAACTCACCAGTTGGCTTCTTCTAATATAATACTTATTACATTAAGCAATGTTGATTTTGTAGGAAATAAACATGATCTAAACCTGCTTTGTATGTGTTTTTAAAAGCTCTTTAGAGGCTTAGAGCAACTTTGTGATGTGTTCTTTTTTTATGTTAAGTATGTGTTTTTAGTTTAACACATACTTAATCATTTACTTTATTTGAAACAGATTTTTTTCAAATGTATTTTATTTTGCTTTTGTTTTCCCTATCGAATTTTTAGGTGATACACCTTTTTATGCAGATTCTCTGGTTGGGACTTATAGTAAGATTATGAACCATAAAAATTCACTTACCTTCCCTGATGATAATGACATATCAAAAGAAGCAAAAAATCTTATTTGTGCCTTCCTTACTGACAGGTAAATAATTTTAACATTGAATTTCTATTAATTCTAAGAACTGCTCATCTTGTCACTTAGTTTTTAAGATCCGTATCTGAGCTCCTACATGTGAATTATTAGAATGTAATAATTCCAAAAATCATTCATGACAGTTAAACCTGATATAATTTTGTGTTATTCTGGATGTCTTTTCTGGATCTTCACTTGCTTATCGTACCAAAGAAATTGGGATAAATATGTAGTCTTGGCTGATGGCCAAATCAGATAATTTTTTTCTTTTGCTGTTGAATTTTTAACCTGGCTAATTATAAAAATGATAGTGTATATCATGGAGTCTAAAAATTTTTTTAATACGTTAACATCTCTGAAATCAGAGTGCATCTCACAGTCAACGGTGTGTATTTATTTAATGGAGAGTTTTTTCCCTAGTGATACAAAAATGACGATATATCTTCTAATTTATGCCATTTTAGATTTGATGATATACAGTGTATACTTGTTAAAATAAATAGTATAAAGCTGTAAGAAAGTATATATTTCTCACTTCCTTTTTTCTAGACATAGTCATTGGTGTTGTATCTTCCAGATTCAGCAAGTATTTTTATAAATGTATGTACATGTGTATGTTTTTGAAATAAAAATGGCATATTATGTATACCCTTGTAGTTTACTTTTGAAGTTTAAAAACTGAACCAGTGCATTTGTAAGATTACATTTAATGTTTATGATTGTATATTATTTATTTAAATAGTAGGGAGGCCTAGGACTTTAAAATGTGTTTCAATTTGAGATTCACTTTAATTAAAATTAACTTTATCTTCCTTCATTATATCCTTTAGAGCTTGAAAGGAAGTGTAATTTTTCAAACTTTCACATTTTAATATAAAGAGCTGTACTGTGCTGTGTATTAGTGCTAGGAATATAGAAGTGAGCAAGATACACAGCCCCTTTTCTGAAAGACCTCATAGCCGTTTGGGGCAATCAGACAAGCAAATCAGATATTTATAGTACAGAAAAATATTTAGATTATTAAATATGGAATGTTGGATTTCCTTAAGTAGTAAGTTTGACAGTTGATACCTCTGATGTTTCACTTTGACATTTCTCTTTTTTTTTTTTTATTGTGAAGGTACATCCTCATTCTTTCAAACACACATTTTGGCTTGTGATTATCTTTCACATTTTTTTTAGAGCAATTTTTGTGAAACCATGGTCAAAAATTCATGTTATTATTGAATATGAGTTCTGTTATGGAACCAGTGCATTGCAGACAGCTTGAAATATCAACGAAGTGTTTGGGAAGAATGTGGCTAATGAATACACAGTACATCAATGGTTTGAGAAGTTCTATTCCAGTGATTCTCATCTTGAAAATGAGCCATGTGGGTGACCTGAGACCAAGGTGGACAATGAAGAGCTGAAAGCTATAGTGGAAGCAAATTCATCTCAACCTATGCATGAATTAGCAGCAAGGTTCGACATTACTATTCCAACAATTTTGGAGCATTTGAAACAAATGGGCAAGGTAAAGAAGCTGGATAGATGGGTTCCACATGAATTAAACAAGCATCACCAGAGAAATCGTTCAAAACTTGCCTTTCAAAAAAAAACATGCCTTTCTTTGCTGTCATGAAATAAAGGTGAACCAGTTCTGCACATATTGTTATGTGTGGTGAAAAATGGATTCTTTTTGACAATCACAAGTGTTCGGCACAATGGCTGGATAAAGATGAAGTGCCGAAACAGTCCAAAACCAAATATTCATCAAAAAAAGCTAATGGTGTCTGTTTGGTGGTTCAGGGCTCGTATTATCCACTATAGCTTCATGAAATCTGGTCAATCGATTACAGTGGATGTCTGCTGCAACCAACTGGACAAAATGATGAGGATGCTTGCTGTTAAGCAGCCGAGATTGGTCAATAGAGACAGGCCAGTCTTCTTGCAAGAACACATGTCACAAAAAACAACGCTGCTCAAACTACAGAAGCTGGACTTGGAAACTCTCTGTCATCTACTGTATTCACCAGATCTTGCGCCAACTGACTACCACATCTTCCAGGCTTTGGACCACTTCCTGCAAGGAAAAATACTCAGTTCTCAACAAGTTGGGAAAACGCCTTTTGTGATTTCAGCGCAACTCGCTCTCCAGGCTTCTTTGGTGCTGGCATAATCAAGCTACCATTAAGATGGCTAAATTGTGTCGGTAGTTTAGGCACATACTTTGGTTAATTGTATTGCTTCTTGTTTGAGATATAATGTACTAAACTTTTGGTTTGAAGTTGGACATTTCATATTTAATGACCTAATAATTACCATGAGATAAGTACTGTGTGTCAGACAACCATGGAGAGGTTTTCTAATCCAGTCTGGGGGAGTTCACGAAAGCTTGTTAGAGAAAGTATCACCTGTCTAAACCAATTTATCTTTTAACTTACAAAAATAATTTAGAATTCAGAGTATTCTCATTATTTATAAACACTGCTAGCAAACAAAAGGAAAGTTGGTCTTTTCAATTCAGCTAAAGTCATATTTTTAAAAACTTCATCTCTATGCTCACTAAAAAGAGGCCCATGATCAGTAACTTGTCCAGCGAAAGCTCTGAATTTTGTAGCAATGTCAAGAATTAGTTGTCACTGGTTTTTGATTTGTCAGAAATATGTAATAGATTATAAAATGGAAATTTAAAATTTAAAATGTGTTTCTGGAGTTTCTGGTAGCATCTGGTGTTGCTACCAAAGTAAAATTGGTTGGGAAAAAAAAGAAGCATAACTTTACCACTGTGGAGAAAAAATGATCAAGAAAATGCTTTGTGCTTTATTCATTATGCTCATGAAGCAAGGTGATGATTCATCTGGACTTTTGTCGTTAATAGAAAAGTCATGGAGTATCAACAGATCTATAGTTTTATATATTTTTTCTTTAGTATTCTTTTAAAAAATTCTTTAATATTCCCTTCAACTTACTTTCTATTTGAGCTGAAAATAATGCTGAAAACGAATATAATTTCAAGGTGACTTAGAACTGTATTTGTCATCCTATAAAGATTTAGCATTCTGCTTGCAAATAAACCTGGACAGGTTATAATAAAATCTTAAATGTTTAATTACTTTTCTCCTTCTCTTTCTATTCAGAGAAGTGAGATTAGGGCGAAATGGAGTAGAAGAAATCAAACGACATCTCTTCTTCAAAAATGACCAATGGGCTTGGGAAACACTTCGAGACAGTAAGTTAATTTTTCTTGCACATTATAGTGAATATTTGAAAGTAGTTGTGGTAAATAGTCTGTTGAAATTGCCTTGCTAAACATTTGTGTATGTATATGTGATGAAAATCAGAAGCCCACAGATACTGGATGGGAATTGTCCTAACCTAGTTAGAGAGAGACTATTTGATAATATTGGGAAAATTGTACTGCTGCTACTCTTATATCCCATTTAGGATACCAAGATGGGCCAGCCTCACACCTGAAATCCTAGTGCTCTGAGAGGCCAGGGCAGGAGGATTGCTTGAGGCCAAGAATTTAAGACCAACCTGAGCAAGAGCGAGATCTTGTGTCTACTAAAAAAATAGAAAAATCAGCCAGGCATGGTGGCATGAGCCTATAATCCCAGTTGCTCAGGAGGCTGAGGAGGGAGGATCACTTGAGACCAGGAGTTTGGGGTTGCAGTGAGCTGTGATGACACCATTGCACTCTATCTAGCTTGGGAGTCAGAGCAAGACCCTGTCTCAAAAAAAAAAAAAAGATATCAAGACGAAATATAAATGTAATGCATTTAGGCTTAGCAGCTCATAATTTTATTTTTGATCTTTGTTGAATTCCTTTTTTTGAGACTAATTCTCTCATTATTGAGGAGTCAATAAATAGCAGGTAATAAAATTAAAATTTTTGTTGTGAAAAGACAGGTTATTCTGTTGTTTTTATTAAAACCTAAAATATGAGGAGCTTGTATTATTAATGAATGCCAAAATTCAATTTAATTATGTTTGTGAGGATACAGGAAATTGTAATGTACTTGATTCCATCAGGCTTTTGGAACATATAATTCAGAAATAAAAATAGTAGGTAAGAAATTAATTTTCAGTCAGTTTAGAACATTTTTTTTAAGTTAAAATTATAAGGCGATTTATAGAAAACCTTGTACAACATAGCTGAATCAAAATTATAATAGGACCAAAGATTCCAATCATCTTTGTGGACTTGGGAGGTAAGGAATTCATTTTTCCCTCACTGGAAGTCTCGGGAATTTTTTCCCTGTTAAATTATCAGAAAAAGAATAATGTATACTAGCCCCTGACCTGTGCCACAGCAATAGCAATGAACAGTAATAATGGAAATGAACTCAGCCTTGGAATTTTAGAAACTGTTACAAATTAGTTACTTGTCTTAAGGACTGCCTATCTAGTTGATAGTGAGGGACAGTTCTTTTATGAGAGAAAAAATCTTATTAATACTGGTGAAATAGATTATGTAGATTTGCTAAAATTGGTGAAGCATTCTAGTTATCAAGTATTTTAAAAGAACAGTTATATTGCCTTCAAGTACAGTACATACATTGTGCTAAGCTATAAATTGTCTAAGAAGGGAAAGAGGGGAATAAATTCTTCTGGAAATTAAGAAATTATACCACAACAAAGAATGTCATTGAATGACCAGCCGTTTGAAGAAGCGACAGGAGCAGCTTGACCTTGGGAGAATTTATTAACAGCTGTATGCTAGGAAATAAGGAACTTCTTCTTCTTCAGAAGTAAATGTGACATGATTATTGTCTTCATGCTGCAAGAGAAATTATTGCAAGACAAAGAGATGCATAGGGAGTGAGACAAATGGTTACATGGAAGGCGGGACATGGTGGCTCACGTCTGTAATCCTAGCACGCTGGGAGGCCGAGGCGGGAGGATCACTTGAGGTCAGGAGTTCAAGACCAGCCTGAGCAACAACAAGACCCCGTCTCTACTAAAAATAGAAAAAATTAGCCAGGTGCAGGGGCATGCGCCTATAGTCTCAGCTACTCAGGAGGCTGAGGCAGAAGGATTGCTTGAGCCCAGGAGTTTGAGATTGCTGTGAGTTAGGCTGACACCATGGCACCCTAGCCTGGGCAGCAGAGCAAGACTCTGTCTCAAAAAATAAAAGGTTTCATGGAAAAGCTTTGTATTTTTATTCAAGTTTCATTCTTATTGAAGTTTAAGAAGGCTGAAAACATACAAATATGATTATAAATATGTAAAAAATTTTAAAGGGGATTGAATAAAACATGAAGTATATTTTGTATTGCTTTAAATTCTTTTTCAAACAAAGTTAGGTAATGCATAAATACTATAGAATAACCACACAGTAAATCACCTTGAAAAATAGAAAGGATATATTTCCTTTTATACATTGAAAAACTGATTAATTAGGAGAGGCGGTAACAACTATTTATTGAACACCTATTATGTGCTGAACATTTTTCTGTTTCAGGCACTAAGAAAATGGCAGTGATCAAACAAAAGTTTTCTCCCTTATAGAGCTCATAGTCTCAAGGAATTAGGCAGTCCATATCAATGCCATTTTATTATATTGCCATACCTCCTTGATGTAACTGCTCCTATTTGTGGAAAAAACAAATGAATTACTTCATTGATTTAAATCAGACAAATTTTATTTATATTTTAAAGATTTTCTCTGAGTGTCCGTATGTAATTTTTATAGTATTATCATTTCTATATCTTTTTAAGATCTGTGTTGTTATCTGTGGTTTTATTATAGTATATTTAGATTTAGCATACTGATAAACATTTTGATGGATTTTCCTAATTCTAATAGTTCTGCTTTGTAGTTATTGAAAAACAAGAAAGAAGAATTGAAGTCTTAGAACTTATTGTTCTTTTCTTTCCCTCTTCCTACACCTTCTTCACTTCCCACCCCTAAAATACCAAGAATTCTTTTATTCTGAACTGACCTCTCTGACCTGCTAAATTTTTAAATATTATGTAACAGTTATAATTCCTTTTAATTTTTTTGACATTCCATTTTCTTTGGCAAAATTGCTTTCTTACACAAACAATAGTTTTTTGGTAGTTTTACCACTTAAGTGTTTCCAAGTTCCAGAGGCCATTAATGTTCACCTTATGTTCCTTGGTGATAATGAGAGCAGGATACAAAATAGCTTGATTTTTGACAGAATTTCTATGAGCTTCCTGGATCTTGTTCATCCTAATTTAGAGGCACAAAGTATTAAGATTGTAAAATTACTTCTCCACTCATTTGAGATAAAATTGAAGGGGTGACATGAGTAAGATTAAAGATAGAAGACAAAAGAAATGAAAAGACCCAAATAACTTGCTACAGGTCATAACTGTGAGCAAATGGCAATGTCAGGATTCATATCTAAGTCTGTTTTGACTCCAAAGCCTTTGATCTTTGGAATGCTGTGTACTATTTAAAGTTCAATATTATACAGATCAGAGATGTAAGGAATTGACGCTTGTTGGCAGTTAAATTTTGGGGGAAAAGAAAATTATGACATTTGTTACATATTTATTGCGTATTTACTACATTATTAGTAATATTGTGTTAAATATAATGTAGTGACTTGCAAAACACTTTGCCATTTATTATCTCATTTGAAGTAAGATATTGGCATTACTTAATCCACCTATAGCTTGTGGGCAAGATGTTAACAGTGATAACACTTCTGTCAGCTCATATAGTTAAGTTTTCAGTTTAATTAAAAACAAAAGTAGGCCGGGCGCGGTGGCTCACGCCTGTAATCCTAGCTCTCTGGGAGGCCGAGGCGGGCGGATTGTTTGAGCTCAGGAGTTCGAAACCAGCCTGAGCAAGAGTGAGACCCCGTCTCTACTAAAAATAGAAAGAAATTAATCGGATAACTAAAAATATATAGAAAAAATTAGCCGGGCATGGTGGCATATGCCTGTAGTCCCAGCTACTCAAGAGGCTGAGGCAGAAGGATTACTGGAGCCTAGGAGTTTGAGGTTGCAGTGAGCTATGATGATGCCACTGCACTCTAGCCTGGGCAACAGAGCAAGACTCTGTCTCAAAAAATAAAATAAAAAAAAAAAAAGAATTTAGGCCTAGCAAGTTTCAGGACACTTTAACTTAGGAGTTTAGACTTTCTCATCATTATAATGGATTCTTTTTTTTTTTTTTAAATAAACTTAAAAAAATTGACCTCTTTGTCGTGGTAAAGTACGCATAACATAAAATTTCCATTTTGGCCATTTTAAACTTGTAATTCCATGGCATTAAGTATATTCACATTGTTTCACAACCATTACCACTACTATTTATGTCCCTAACTTTTTCGTCATCCCTACCTTAAACTCTTTTGTTAAGTGATAACATTAAATAATAACTCTTCATTCCTCTCTCCCCCCAGTCCTCAGCAACCACTATTTTACTTTTCATCTCTATGATTGACTACTCAGGGTATCTCATTTAAGTAGAGTACTATAATATTTGTCTTTTTTGCAACTGGTTTATATCACTTAGCGTAATGTATTCAAGGTTCATTCATGTTGTAGCATGTATCATAATTTCATTTTTAAGAGTAAATATTATTCCATTGTGTATATATACGTATTTTTATTTATCCATTTATCTATTGCTAGACACTTAGCTCTATCTTTTAGCTATTGTGAATAATGCTTCTATGAACATTAGTGTGCAAATATCTGCTTTACAAATTATATTATGGATATTTATATCCATATGAATATTATATAGGGATATTTATATTTTCCATTCATTTGAGTATATACCTAGAAGTGGAATTGTTGAATCATGTGATTATTCTATGTTTAATTTTTTGGAGGAGGCACCATATACCCACAGTGGCTGCACCCTTTTATATTCCCACCAGCAATGCACATGAGTCCAGTTTCTCTACATCTTCTCCCAACACTTGTTCTTTTCTGTGTTTTTCCTTTTTTTTTTTTTATAGTAGCCATCCTAATAGATGTGAAGTTGATTTGCATTTGCCTAATGACTAGGGATGCTAAACATCTTTTTGTATGCTTATTGGCCATCTATATGTCTTTAGAGAAATTTCTATTCAAGGTCTTTGACCATTTTTGAATTGGATTATTTGGGTTTTTTGTTGTTGAGTTATAGACTTTCCTTATATATTCTGATATTAATCCCTTATCAGATACATGGTTTGCAAATATTTTCTTCCATTCTTTGGCTTATCTTTTCACTCTGTTGATAGTATTTTGATGCACGAAAGTTTTTAATTTTGATGAAGTCCAGTTTATTTTTTCTTTTGTTGCCTCTGCTTTTGGTGTCATAGTCAAGAAATCATTGCCAAATGTATTGTCATGAAGCTTTTCCCCTATGTTTTCTTTTTTTTTTTTAAAGAATATTACGGGGGTACAAACACTTTGGTTGCATATATTGCCTTTGTACCACCCAAGTCAGAGCTACACGTGTGCCCAACCCCCAGACATCACGCACCACACCCGTTAGGTGTGAATTTACCCATTCCGCCCTCCCACCTGCCCAGCACCCTATGAATGTTACTTCTGTATGTGCACATAAGTGTTGATCAGTTAGTACCGATTTAATGGTGAGTACATGTGATGCTTGTTTTTCCATTCTTATGATGCTTCACTTAGAAGAATGGGCTCCAGCTCCATCCGGGATAACATAAGAGGTACTAGTTCTGTCATTTTTTTATGGCTGAGCGGTACTCCATGGTATACCTACACCACATTTTATTAATCCACTCATGAATTGATGGACCACTTGGGTTGTTTCCACATCTTTGCAGTTGTGAATTGTGTGGCTGTGAACATTCAAATGCAGATGTCTTTATTACAGAAGGTGTTTTTTTCCTTTAGGTAAATACCCAGTGGTGGGACTGCTGGGTCAAATGATAGTTGTACTTTTAATTCTTTGAGGTATCTCCATATTACTTTCCATAGAATTGTACTAGTTTTCAGTCCCACCAGCAGTGTATGAGTGTTCCTATCTCTCCATATCTATGCCAACATTTGTTTTGGGACTTTCTGATGAAAGCCATTCTCCCTGGAGTTAAGTAATATCTCACTGTGGTTTTGAGCTGCATTTCCCTGATGATTAGAGATATTGAGCATTTTTTCATATGTTTCTTGGCCTTTTCCCCTGTTTCTTTCTAAGAATTTTATAGATTTAGCTATTATGTTTATTTAGGTCTTTGACCCACTGCGAGTTAATTTTTGTATGTGGTGTATAGCAGGGATCCAATTTCATTCTTTTGTATGTGGATATCCAGTTTTCCGAGCACCATGTGTTGAAAAGACTGTCCTTTCTCCCACTGAATGGTGTTGGCCCCTTGTGTTGAAAATCATTTGACCATATATGTGAGAGTTTATTTGTGGGCTCTCTGTTGGTATGTATATGTTTGTCCTTATGCCGGTACCACACTATTATGATTATTGTAGCTTTGTAGTAAGTTTTGAAATCAACAAATGTGAGTCTTCCAACAAACTTTTTTTTTCAGAATCGTTTGAGTATTTGGGATCCCTTGAGATTCCATAAAAACATTTCTCTTATAATTTATTTTAGACGTACTCCTTGTAACATATTCAAGCTCTGAAAGAAGATAGTAGTAGTATTAGTATCATATTGTATTTTCTCCTGTATTATAAATATTTAAGCATTCTCACATATTATTAAGTATTTATAAGACTTTTTCTGCATCAAGATTATAATTCTTGAAGATGCTGTGTCCATGTTGTGTATCCCTGCCCTTTTTTCCTAACAACTATATCATAAATGCCTCACTGAATTGATCCCTAATCACTTGTTGTGAAGGTAGCTAGTCTGAAAATATACTTCAAAATCCTTTGCTCCTTGTGGCTTAATCTTACGGAGATGTTGAATGTTGAAGTTGGATGGGGAGGAGTATTGATCATTCTGAGTAAAGCATTTCAGTACCAAATTACTATATCCAGGAAACTAAGAAATAACCTTGATTTCTGGTTTGCCATAGAGCAGATTAACAAACAAAAAAAACCACAGGCAGTCCCCAGGTTACGGATGACCCAACTTACAACATTCCATACTTACAAAACAGGCTCCCAAGGTTCCCCATAAGGATGACAAATAATTAAATTAATAATTTGGGAACTAGTTTCTTCCATGCATGTAAGCAATCCCTCATGGCATAAGTGGTTCGTTGGCACAGGATTTTTATGCTAGCAGCTAGTCTCATTGTTTATATGGTCACTTACATGCAGCATCACTTTCGTCTTAACTTTTTAATGTGATTTTGTGAGTCTGTGTTTACCCTTATGACCATGCCTCCAAAGCGAAAGTCCACTGCAAGTGTAGGTCAGTGATGGAAGCAAAAGTAGAAATAATTAAGCATTCAGAGAAAGGCCAGATGCAATCATTCATTGAGAAAGCATTAGCCTTCAGTAGCAGGAGTGTCAGAGCAATTGTAAAGGATAAAGTGAAATAATGGAACGTATGAAAAGCAGTGTTCCAATGAAAGCATCAGTTATTAACTCAGCAGTATAATGGATTAATTATTAAAATGGAAAGGTTATTATTGGTTAGAAGATCAAAATAAATGTAACATTCTTATCAGCCTAGCATCAATGTAACATTAGGTGAGTGTTAACCTTTAATATTCTTTTTTGAAGTTTTTCCTATCTCCTATCTGAAATTTTTGTATGAGTTTGTTTTTATGTTCTGTTTGTTTGAACTAAAGGAAGAACACAATAGTTTTTGTAACTTACTATTACAGTACAGGGGTATTATTATTATTACTACAGTATTATACTATATTATTCTGACCACATGAGCCATTATAGTATTGTTATTATTGTTATTGCCATATATGCTCTCTTCATCAAGTTACATATAAATCTGACCTAAAAATGTTCTCAGGAACATGTCTCCTTGCCTTTACTATTAATATATTTGAAACTAATCAACTTTTTAAAGTACAGTTTGTTATGCTGTAGTTTCTGAAAAGTCATTTCTGTAGTCTCAAATGCTTTTGTGTATTTTATACCTTGAGCATTCTAAAACAAACCTTAATAATACTTGATCTGTAATATATAAGTTAAACTTGAGGTATAGATAATTGTAGGTGATTTTAAAGATAATTGTTTTCTGGAGTTACATAATGATCAATATCGGTCAATTTTTAATCCTAGTAAAGCTTAGTATAATAGGATTCAACCCTTGTGGAATTTGTGGTTTGCAAGCTATTTATAAGAGAGAAACCATCAGCAGTTGGTATGGAATTTTTGCTTCGTTTTATTTGTATATTGAATTTGAAATGAATCTAGTTTTGTTTCTGCTTTTAGCTGTAGCACCAGTTGTACCTGATTTAAGTAGTGACATTGATACTAGTAATTTTGATGACTTGGAAGAAGATAAAGGAGACGAAGAAACATTCCCTATTCCTAAAGCTTTTGTTGGCAATCAGCTACCCTTTGTAGGATTTACATATTATAGCAATCGTAGGTAAGTATGCTAAATGGTGATTTTAGGAGTAGGTGCTGATTTTGTTGTATTCATATTATTTTCTTAGAGATATCCAAAAATCATTTAAAAGTAGGTTTAATGGCATATAAAGATATATCTTATAGTAATGCCATTTTTCAGTGATGTGTGATATTTCTAGTATTTCATATTTCATTTTTTTCGAATTCACACATGTTCAGGATATTGTTTTTCAAAAATTCTTTGCTGAATTATATAGGATATATCCTCAAGTTATAACAATTGATATTTCAAAAGATGCTGTTAACATTGATACTTCAGTTAATATTGTTATCTAAAGAGTTACAGTTTATAATACATTTTGGAACAACATATAAACTTAGGTAGCACTATCATCATTATATTGATGCTATCAAAGTCCTGTAACTTTTAGCTCTTGAAAAATTAAATGATTCCTCCCAGAACACATTTAATGAATTCACTGTGTGTTATAAAATGGAATATTACCTATACTGTGATGTTGAACAAATAAATTTAACCTTTTATGCCTCCATTTCTTCAAAACTAGGAATGATGATGATGATAATAATACTTGCCTCATAGGGTTGTTGTGAGAATTAAGTAAATCAAAACACAGTAAAGCACTTAGAACAGTGCTTTGCATGGAGTAAGCACTCAGCGTTAGCTGTTGTTACCATTATGAGCTAATGTTAGCTTTAGTCTTTTCAAATGTACTTGAGATATAAGTTAAACATTTAACATTATTTTAGTGTGCTGAGCATTCATTCATTCAAGAGATATATTTGATAACTTACTGTTTGTCAGGTATATGCTAAGCACCCAAGGTGCATAGAGAAGGATGAATAAGATATAGTACCTTCTCTTGAGATGCTCACATCCTAGTGAGAAAATGGATAAATTATGCAATATAGGTTGGTAAGTACTACATAGTAGAAATCTAAACAAATTGCTAGGCCGATATAATACAGTGAACAATATGGCAATACTTACTGGATGTGTTAAATCTACTTAATATTATTTTTGAATTACCTCAAAAATATGTACTTCTAATCAAACTATACTCCATTGAAGTGGTATTAGATAATTAATTTGCTTGAGTAATTATTAAATTTGAGGTTATTATAGCTAATGTTGAAACTATTTGTGGCTTTTATTTATCCTATTTGGTATGAATATTCATATGTTTTGCTGCAGGAATACTAAGTAGTATGATTATAGGCAGCTACTTCAGACCTAACTGGGGGTTTCATTTAATACATGTATCATTTCTGAATTATGTTTCTAAAATAATTATGAACCTGTACTTAATTTTTAACAAATAGAGCTACTATAATACTGAACATAGTAGGCATGTAATATTTGTTATTGGCTATTATTGGTAATTAAAGAGTTTTTTGATTGTTTTCTTTTTAAATTTTTCTTTCCTGTAGATACTTACCTTCAGCAAATCCTAATGATAACAGAACTAGTTCCAATGTGGATAAAAGTTTGGTAGGTGTTTTCTTATTGTTAGTTTTTTAAAAATCGTTTTGTAGATAATGTATTTGTATACATGATATTGAGTAAACTTATGTAATGCTTGTGAAAGTGTAGTTAGTGAAGTTAGATTTTTATGGCACTTTTATATACTGTCTCCTCTCTGGTCTGATTTTTTTGCTTGAATATCAAATGGAATAATATATGTGGAGGCAGTTAGTGAATTCTAAATTGCTGCACAGATTGACGGTGGTCATTTCATCTTTTTAATCTTTGGAATTAGGAATATATGGTACATCAGTGTATCATTAAGAGTCTTAACAGGAAAACAGATAACATTTAAAAGATTTAAATGAAAAGAGTTTTGTATGTATGTGGTAAAGTATATATGACAGGAAATTTACCATTTTAATCCTTTTTAAGTGTAGAGTTCAGTGCTGTTAAGCACCTGCACATAGTTATACAGCCATCGCTGCCATCCATCTCTAGAACTTTTTCATTATCTCAGACTAAAAATCTGTACCCATTAAGCAACAGCTCCTCGTTTCACCACCATCCCGCCAAGGTCCTGGTAGCACTATTCTATTCCACTTTCTGTCTCAATGAATTTGACTATTCTAGGCACCTCGTATAAATGGGATCATATAATATTTGTCCTTATGTGGTTGGCTGATTTCATTTAGCATGTCTTCAAGGTTCATCCATGTTATAATATGTGTCAGAATTTCCTTTCTTTTTAAGGCTGAATAATACTCTATTGCATATACATATATATATATATATATATATACACACACACACACACACCACAATTTGTTTATGCGTTTGTTAAATGAAAACAGTTTAATAACGAGATGATTAGCATATTGTAAACATCAGTAAAGGGGAACAATAAAGGGCGCTAAAGCACCCATTGATTAACAATAGTAGGACGCCACTGCCCCTATACTGAAGGGGCAAGGAGAGAAAATCTTGTAGCTGAGAGAAGGCCTGGCATCATAGAAGAAGAACATAGGACATAGAACACTGCCAGAACCACAGTAGAGGCAGTTTGGTACAGTGGTGAAGGGAATGCTGCCAGAACCACAGTAAAGCAAGAAGCGTGTGGGGAGAGTGAATATTTCTTTTCTCTGCCTTCCGATTTCCTGTTGTTATCTCCTATGGACTGAAACCAATCTTAAAATCATAGAGCAACAGAACCCAGGTAATGCAGTCTGTAGGTTTTAAGGCAAAGAAGGACAGAGGATGGATCTCTAAGGCTGGGAGGGAGTAGGGATATGAAAAATAAGCATTATAGTGAGCATCATCTAATTTGTCCACTGAGAAGTGAATTACTCTAGGAAGTAAATTTTAGTTATGAGTTCTTTCTATTGTTTATATAGCTCATGTTCATGAGATGAAAAAAAAAATCTTACTTGCTAACATTTGAGAAGATCCTTTGGGTTAACAAGGACTTTTCTGAAAAATATTAGGAATAATTATTGGTCTATTCTTAGAGCATTCTTTGAACTTTTTGTGTGCTACAGATGACATATTTTTAACAGAGGAGAGGAGGAGGTAGCAACCATTTTTTAAAAGCTAATATGATTTTTTTCTTTCTCCTTGATATATTTATCCTTAAATGTAAGAGAACATGTGATGGAAAGGGAAAGTGAGAAAAGGGGGAAGGAACTATGTTGAGTACCTTTTAGCTGTTATGGTCATCTTTCTCTTTTAAATTTTCATCCCAGCGGAGCTGTTTGGCAATTTATATAGCTAAAAAGGGCTCAGGAATCTTTAAAAGTAAAGCATCTTTGACCTAGGGAGGGTAACAATAAGGAGTTGCTGTAACCCAGCTCTCACTGTATTACTTGTCTGTAAGATTAGAGGTGTATTAGGACTTAAAAGATATTCAAAAGATTTGTGTTTTCTTTGGACTGATTTTGTTCAGTGGTGATTGCCATAAGTTTCTGTCCCTGGCAGCTACATTTTATCTTTTGCTCTGATAAGATCACAGGGGAGGATAAATAGTATTTACTTATATTTAGTATTATATATTGTGTTTATGTTTACCTAGAATTAAGTACAAAAGTCACCTAATTTAATTTTCAACTCTTCCTTGAAAACCTTTCAGCAGAGATACTAGTAACAACTTTACAATTGCCAAATACAATGAATAATTGTCAGTCCATATCTTATTTTTCTTCTTTGCTGATTATTTCCTCTTCTTTTGAACTTCAAGCTTTTATAACTCTTTTATGTTCCCATTATTTCCTTTTTTTTTTCCTTTCTGTCTTTTGGAATTTTATTTTATTTATTTTTTTTCAGTCCTCTTTGCAGGATCTTTTTCTCCTCAATTATTATTTCCCAAAGTTCTGCCTTATATCAGATCCATATTCTTTTCTTGCCTGAACTGTTTCAATAGCTTTTTAACTGGTTGCTTTTCCTAGAATTTCACTGTCCTCTAATCTATTCACCTTATTATTATCAGAGTGATGTTTCTGAGATGCCAATATTGTGTCAGTTCCCTGTTTAAAATGCTTACGGTTTAAAGTCCCCAACTCGTATTTTTGCATACAAGGATCTTGGTTTCACTTACTTTTTTAGGTTTAATGTGAACTGTTTTCCCTATTATAGTCTATGCTGTGCTGTAGTACTTGATTTCTTCCCATTTCCCAATACATTATGTTAATATTTTCTTCTATCTCCCTACTTTTGAACTCATTGTCCATTCTAGCTAAAATGTCTTCCTTCTACCACCTTCTCTGCTTGGTAAATTTCTCTCATTTTGTAGGTCTCACCTCAAGCATTATATATTCTTGGTAGAATTAAAACTGTCCCCTTTTGTCCTTCAGAACACCTCATATAATTTTATTATCATTTATCACATTATATTCTAATATTTTGTGTATATATCTTTGGGACATTGTAGGTTCTTTTCACCCTCCCGTTTCCCTTTGCCCTCTCTGTTTAACATTTGCTTCATGAGAAC